GCTCTGCCCCACCCCACCCACCCCCCGTTTTCTGCATCCAGTCTTTCTGGTCTCCTGCCTGCCTGGACCCCCTTTCTGTGCCCCAACTCACCCCCCGCCCATCCCCCCCCCACCCCCCCACCCCCCCGCTCACCTGCTCTGCCCCAGGTGTCGGCACTGACGTTCTGGGTGACGGGTTTGGCCTCGGGGTAGTCCCACTGGTCATCCTTCCCGAGCCCGTAGAACTGGACCTGGCAGCGGAAGTGGTTCCGAGGGTTGTGCCAGAAGGTGGCGGAGACCCTCAGCCGGCTGCTCAGACAGTAGCTGGAGACATTCGCGCCGGACTGTTCCTTGTAGGGCTCAGGGTCCGTGCTGACCCCGTCGCGCACCTCCTTCCCGTTCACCCACCAGCTCAGCTCCACGTGGTCGGGGTAGAAGCCTGTGGCCAGGCACACGAGCGTGGCCTTCAGGGTCCGGGAGATCTCTGCTTCTGATGGTTCAAACACTGTGACCTTGGGAGGGCTCACCTTTTTCAGGTCCTCTGCAAGGGAAGAGAGGTTGGGGCCAGGCCTGGTCTGAGAGCTGTCTGGGTTTGGAAGGACAGTGTGTGTGTGTGTGTATGTGTGTGTGTGTGTGTGTGATGGAGAGGGTGACAGAGAGAGACAGAGAGAGACAGAGACAGAGAGAGCTGGAAATGGGGTCATCCTAAAGCAGAATTATGGAGTTGTAGGTCCTGTGTGTTTGGGGGTCACTGTCCTCTGTTGTTATTCTCCCACAACTTCACGATTTTTTTTCTGGGTTCCTCCATGGACGCACACACTTAGACTCTCTGGGCTAAGGTAGCAATGGGTCCTGATTCTCTTGGCTGTCTTTGCAGTCTCTTAAACAAGGCCTTGTTCCATATCTATCAAAAGAGTATATGTGTCTCTTTTTCTTCCCCATTCAAAGTCCTTTTCGCCGTGTGACTGCCTCTTGTTTTAGATGGAGAAGCAGCTTTAGTAGAGCTGAATGAGACCAGATTGTGAGGCAGAGGGTTCTCTCGCTAGCAACATCATCCTGGAAACCGAACTGACTTTTCCTAATTGTCATTGTTCTCTTGTACAAGGTGTTGAGTGTCCGTTTAGGGAGGGGGAGCAGGTACTAGAATTAGCCTTTGTTGTCTAGAAGACTCACTGTCCTGTTGCGTCTGACTATACTTTTTCCTAAATGCTTCTTTTCCCAACTCACTTTTTTCCTTTTCTTCCTTCCCTTTTCTCTTTCTTTCTTTCTTTAGCATAGAACCTGCTTTGAGGAGCCATGAAGTCTCTGGCTATTATCAGATGCTCCACATTCGCTGCACTTATACTGGGGCACATGGGGTATGTGCTAGCTTGCCCGGGTTGGCTATAATCCCATGAAAGATATTGCTCATGGATTGAACCCTTTTTTCCTTCCAATGCCCAGCAAGCCTCCCTGCCAGCTTTGGAAATCCTAGTTCACAGCCAAGCTTTACATTTTTAAAAGCAGCAAAACCTTGCTGGGTATGAACAAATTCCAAAGTCCAAGGGCCATTTCATCTGAGCATTCATGTTGTAAAGTCCTGGGCCCTTTTACATGCCTGACAGATAGGGGAGAATTTCTGGAGTTGTTGGAAGCCATGACCTCATGTAAAGACACACAGGGATAAAAGAAAACACATCCATCTATTAAGCTTCCTTTTTTTTTTTTTTTTTTTTTTTTTTTTTAAACCAGAATGGACTCTGCCATCTATGGCTCTATATTGACCAGAGGAATGATTTTTTTGGAGCGGAAATGTGGGGAACCCGGATGTTTCCACTTTATCCAAATTTGAAAAATGTTTCTAATGGGAAAATTGAGACAGACGTTGGAAAAAGGCCAAACTCTGACACGTGATGATGAGCGCCGGGAGCAGAAAGGATTATCACGATGAGGTGAGCCTTTTATAAAGGTGTCCGTAGAAGGTAGTCCCTAACAACTTAACACCCCCAGAGGCTGGCGCTATTACCCCCATTTTATAGATCTCAGAGATTCTGAGATTTCCACTTTCCGATTGTTCAACCGCCCGGGGGGGGGGGGGGGGGCTGTGGGTGGGGCCGGGGCATGTGGAGGCTGGGCGGGGGGTGGGGTGTACTTATGACACTCACCGGCATGTGCCTCTGTCTCTGCAGGACAGAGTCTGCTCGAGCCAACCAGTCTGGTAGGACCAACTCTCCTGTTCTTCCCGCCTTGTCTCTGTTCCCAGCCCAGACTCATCCCATCCCTGCCCTCCCCTCCGCCTGCCCCCCTCCTCTGGAGCATGCCAATGGTGTGTTAGCGTTTTATGATGGGCCCTTTACCCTACCATCCCAGCACAGGTCCTGAGGTTTGGAAAATGGGGCCTCAGCCTCTTTTCTCTTCTTTGTACCTTATCTGTTGCTAAGGTGGCCTAAGTTTCCAGTTGTATCAGAAAGTTTATTCACACCTATCTCCTCGGATCCTGCCAAGCACTAACCCCTTGCAGCTTTCATGACACTGTGACGTGCCTTCTGTCCCCGGGGCTCAGAAATGTCCCTTAAACCCCAGCCTCGCCAGTCCACACACCACCCCCTGTGCCTCCAAAGCCCTAGATCCCTTCAGGAAGACACACATGGGTCTTTGGAGACTGGTGGAGATGGAGAAGGAGGACAGGGAAGGCAAGGGTGGAGTTCTGAGCAGGTGGACGGTGTTAGAAGGATTTTAACATAGAAAACAGACCCATTCGCCCAAATGGAGTCAACCATGAAGGACTGGAGTTAGCTCAGGAGGGAAGATGGAGAAGATCTGACTCAGATAAAGAAGGGAAAGTAAAACAACACACCCCTGAAAAAGAAGAGAGTGAAAGAAGGCGGCCCGGAGAATGAGAAAACAGCCAGAAAACACAAAGCCCCCAAGACCAAGTCTACCCCCGAGGGTCTGAGACAAGCACAGCAGAGCAGCCAGAGAAACTCTCGGCGGGAGGGGGAGGCTCGGACTTCTGTCCGTCACCCCCGTCTCCTTCCTGGACTGATGGGTCACGCATGGGCACCCCCCCGCCCGGAGCGTGGCCCCCAACCTGTCACGGTGAGCCTGGTGCCCATCCCAAAGTGGAGGGGTAAGTTATAGGAGCACAGCTGCAGGGAGCTGTGGTAAAACCTGGGGCGGGGGTCTCCTGCCAGAGGGCAGGTCCTAGCTCCCAGGGAACGGGCTCTGCCACCTTCTCCACCTGGGTGCGTGGCTCTGGACCAGAGGAGACCTGGAGAAAGGTCCAGGCATATGATGGGGAAAGAGGAGAAGGCTCAGGGTGGGAAGAGGCACACACATGAGAAGGAAAGATGAACCGAGGAAAGAGCGAGGAGGTCACATCAAGGACTGAAGACCCAGGGAGGACAAATAGAGGGTCCAGGTGAGCCGCACCAAGAGCAATGGCAGCCACAGCTCCCTGGAGAAGGTCCCCAGGATAAGAGAGTTTACCTGACCCCTGACAACCAGCCGTGGGGAGAGACGGGGCCCCGGGTCCCAGGGACCACAGCTCTCCCACCCTGGTCCTGCTCCTTACCTGAGAGAGAGAGTTGAGTCCTGTCTCCAAAGTACTGTGCCTGGTTGCTCCACAGCACAGCAAGAGTGTGACAAACCCAGAATTGCTGCTCTGGGGCCTTTCCTTCCAGAAGCTAGCATCCACCCAAACTTCTGGGGGCTCTAGCACCTACTCTGTTCCCCACACTCTCTGCGCCTTTTCCCGCTGTGCCCCTGTCCCCACCCTGTCTCCGGAGTCCTTCTGGGACTGTACTTTTCCAACACACTACCCCCCCCAGGGAGGCCGCTTGCTTCCCCAAGACAGAGAGCTTGGCTCCACTTGTGGAAAATTGTCATTGTTACACAACACTGCAGGCTGGTAGGAAAACTGCGCACCTGCGTCCAATTCCTGCCCTTCCCAAGTGTACCTGCCTGCTCTCTTCTGCCTTTCCGTAGCAGAATTTTGGCACTGGGAGGGGGAGAGGGGGCACGCGTATGGCCTGAAATGTCAGGGGACCAATGTGGCCATGTGACCCCCACCCCTTTCTCCCGTGTCCCTCTCTTTTCTGGACGAGGGGGGAAAGCAGCAGGACGAAGCTAGCTCTAAGGCTAGAGGCTTCCCATCTACCGTGGCCATGATGGGGTGCGCTCCAAGGAGACGGGAGATGGACACGGTGACCCCAAGACGAGACTACTTGCCTCCCAGCACGGGAACCCAGACTTGGCGTGGCCAGTCTGTGAAATTACCAGGGATGGAGGCCGACCCCTCCCGATCGCCTCAAGGCAAGAATTCAGATCTTTCTGATAAAAATGTGCTTTAAGCTAAGCCCCCAGAACAGAGGCTCCATCTGGAGCCCTGCCCCTCCTTGTAGGTTCCCAGCCCTCCAGCCTCGACGAGCTTACCTACAACAGCGAGCCGGCTCCCTTCCCCAAAATAGAGCGTCTCGCCATAGCACAGCCTCTCAGATCTGCTTCAGAACCTCCCCTTGTCTGCTGAGCTCAGCTGGGATTCAGGGACAGATTGGGGTGTTCGTGGATCTCTTCGCTCACAGAGACACCAGCCCTACTTTGCATATCCCCGTGCATATCCCCGTGCACGGACAGTCAGAAAAAAGGAGACAGTGTGGCCTCCTGTGAAATCCAGAGCAAGGGAAGATATGAAACCCCTGCAGAGAGTTCCAGTCAGTGAGGAAGGTGGGCCCGTATCAGGGCTCATTGATTGCCTTCTGGGCTCTCTCTAGGTTTTCTCTGGCAGGTAACTATTCAGAGGGGGCAGTGCTATCTCCTCTCCCTCCTCTGCCGGAACCACCGAGGCTCAGCTCTGAGTTTACAGAGGACCACCGGTGGCTGCGTGGATTTACCCTGACCGGGACCCTCCCAGGTACTCGTTCCCAGATGCGCGCATGACATCTCCTTGCCCAGGACCCAGGGGCTGGGTGATCCCTTCCCTCCCACACTTTCTGGGATAGAATCCTCCCGGTCATGCCCTGCCCGGAGTCCCCACCGCCTTACCGACGACTGTCAGCTTGGTCCCTGGGCCGAAGGTATAATCATAGCACATCAGAATATGGCCATTCTAAAATGGACCTGCCATTTTGGACCTGCTTCCCCTATGAGGGGCTTGGAAAGACCCAGAGTCTAGCTTACCTATAACTGTGAGCCTGGTGCCTGCTCCAAAGAAAAGTTCAGTGTTCACACAGTGACTCCAGGCCAGGAGGCAAACAAATTTGAGGCGTGGAAAGAAACGGGGGCTGTAGCTGGTGTCTGAGGATGCTGGGGTCAGAAATCCCTGCCTGTGTTTTACCGATATTGCATAAAACATTTTCAACTCTGACTCCTGGGGCCACAGAGCATGGCCAGAGTGTATCCAGAGGGTCCCACACTACTTTCTTGATTTTTTTCTGAGGGTCCATTAAAAGGACGTGGATCTGGAGAGAAAGGCAGGGTCCTAGAGCAAGTGACCATATCCACGGAGAGCGAGGATATCTCTGGCTTCTTCCTCTGTGGAATGGGTCACCTCCCATGCACCTT